GGTTGGAAAAGACCTTGAAGATCAAGTCCAACCATGAACCCAGCACCACCACCAGCTTCACCACTAACCATGTCCTCGAGTGCCACATTCCAACGTTTGACAACCCTTTCTGCGAAGAAATTTTCTTTAATATCCCACCTGACCCTTCCCTGGCACAGCTTGAGGCCATTCCCTCTCCTCCTGTCCCTTGTTCCCTGGAGCAGAGCCCAACCCCCCCAGCTACACCCTCCTGTCAGGGTGTTGTAGAGAGTGAGAAGGTCCCCCCTGAGCCTCCTTTTCTCCAGGCTGAATTGACATGTGAGTTTGGGGGGCTGATGTCTCAGACTGTAAGCACTATAGTTTTAATCTTCTGCCATTGCTTCCACAGACTCTCCATTGAAGGTCATTCCTGTAGTAATTTATGTTTGCAATATTTGCATAGGAATGTTCATCTGAAAAGCTTTCCTACACAACTGGGGGGCACAGCAAGAGAACCAAGGAACAAAACACTGTATAGCTCTGAGAAGCAATACTGTCCAGCTCTGCCCATGGACCACACATTTTCCTGCTCAGGCCTAGGTGTGGAACAGACTGCTCAGATTTTCTTTGTTGGCAATGTTTTCTTAAAAAAGGGGAAGCAAAACAGCTGGCTCAGTTCTGTATGGAAGCTAACTTTGGAGGCTGTGAGATCACAAGCAGCTTTCCATGCTGAGATGACCCTGCTCCTCTCCCAGAGAGGCCCCCACTGTGCCTGCTCTATCCTTGAATTTCTCATCCTTTTCAGCTGAAAATGCAGAAGATAATTTAATTTCTTCTCTTTTCCATCCACTCTGTCCCCAGCCCATGGGGCTGCAGGGGGTTGTTTTGACTGAAGTGCAGGACCTGGTACTTGGCCTTGTTGAACCTCATCCTGCTGGAATCTCTCTCCATCTTTCTTGTTGGCTCCCTTCTTGTGAGTTCCTTCTTTTCAGGCTTCTCCATCAGTCTCCCCCTATTCCCTCTCTCCCCTCATACCTTGATACCTTTAGGAATGCAGCACAATACTGGATGGGAAAACCAAAAAAATTGCAGCCCTGAGGCACCTACAGGCAGAGGATTCAATGACTGCACACCAAGCCCTCATTACAGAGTTTAGTCAGGGAGAGATGAATGCTAAATTTAACACCACCAAATGAGTGCAACTACCCTTCTGGAGCCAGGATTCTTATAGTATAACTAAAATACCAGAGCCCAGCTCAACAATTAAGAAATCAGAAAGTAAATCAGGGTGTAGGATAAAACTTTTGCTGACACATCTGCTGCCAAATGTTTTCAGACCTGTCAAACCTTTTCTACAAGGAGTTCCTAGTGAGCTCTTTTTGTTGGTTGGTGTGTTGTTTTCTTTTTTAAGTGGATTGCCATTTTTTGGAGTCATTACCTGATACACTTCTCATTTCCAGTTCACTTGGCTGCATGGTTGGTTTTTTTGTTGGACAAGTTTCTAGATTACCCATGTCATCTGTAAATAACAAAAGCATGCTAAGAACCTCAGCATCAAATCATCTCTGCTGCTAAGCTGGAAAGACAGCAGAAAATGAAAACATCAGCAAGTTCTCTGAGAAGAATATGCTAAACCTCAAGAACTATGTCAATTAGACATTAAAACTACTGGTGTCTCAACTAAATACCTACTTACATGCATACCAGGAGACACAATTTATCCCTCATTTTAAATAACTTTCATTTTCCAACTCACAAAGAAAATCCTTTCACGTTCATAATACAATACAAAGAGATAGATTATTCAACCTAAAAAAATCTGACATTTAAGAAAAACAGGCCAAAGGATGTCAGGACACATTAGCTTCTTTACCAAAGTTCATTAGCCCTCTTGAAACAGGATGCTGGGGCTCATGGCCAGCACCAGAAGCTTCTGAGGAACCTCAAAGGGCTTCAATCCAAAAATTAAAGCCCATAGTAAATCTCCTTTCTTAAACCCTAAAATTAAAAAAAAAAAAAAAAAAATCAGGTATACAGTCTTAAGATTATATGAAACTTCCTTTACTATCTTATGTGTTAGATATAGTATAATACTTTATGTCCAGTTGATGCTCATAGAAGCTGTTTATATATTTATGAAGGAACATTATTCAGAGATTGCATGAAGTCTTTTGTGTTTCTGATCCCTCTGACTCTTGTTACATTTTATATTACATGGAGTAAATCTCTGAAAGTACAGGAGCTTTGCTTACAAACAATGGCATCGAAACACTAAGATTCTTTCAAATATTGTAAGCATTTTTGGCTTTGGTTTATTTGTAGTATTGTCACACTTGATTTATAATGGGGTATTCTGACTATGAATAAGCATGCTTTAAAAAAACCCTCACTAACCTCTTCATCTCTATGATATCTTGAAACAGCTAAAAATATGGGGTAGGGAAAAAATAAGTAATTTCCTTTCAAACAGATGTTAGGTCTTTCATTTAAATGAATATCTCTATCTCCTATTGTCATGGGAGAAGGAGTAAAGGCAAGAGGCCCCTCTTGGCTTCACAGTATCAAATGATAAGAGACTTTTTCATATCTGTTCTTATTTACTGCTTCTTCATACTGAACAGCATCAGTCTTGTCAGTCTTTCATAAAAAAGTTTTTCCACATCCCTAATCTTTCTTGTTATCCCTTCCTGGTTACTGTGCTTTAACTTGGAAGAAAAACTCGTGATGAGATCCAAAACTAAGTGAAATGAGTTGGAAGTGCACATTTTTACACTGTGGGAGCAGACACTTGCCCAGCTTACAGAGGGATGTACAATGCTTTCTTATTTCTCTGTCACAAATGGGTACTTTTGGAGATAATTTAGTTCAGCATGAAGCCCTTTAGTCAGGACTACAAAGAACATCAGAAAAGATGACTCTAATGATGCCTGAATGTCAAAAATCTCTGGCATCTTCCCCAGTCTAAGGCAGTCAGCAGGGAAACCTGGACATCCTTTGCCTCCACCCCAAAATTTGCCCAGCTATTCAGGGCAAAAAGAGGATAGAAGCAAAAAAAGTTTCCACATAGCTGCAAGAATCCATGCGGTGTTTTCAATCTCAATGTGGTGTCTTTCTGTACAAAATCTTATGAAGAAAGATGAGACATTTCTTCCTGCTTTAACATCTGTTTGATCTTCCTTGCTTCATTTGTGCACATCCAAAAGAACTGTCCTGAACAAGCTGATGCAAGAACAGCAACATTTATAGAGGTAATGACTGACATGGATGCAATCATCCTGCAAATGCCTCAATACTGGGGAAAATACACAGGATTTTTAGTGCCACTTTGAGGGAATAAACAGCAGAAGTGATATTGTTAGAATCAATATTTCCCAAATGCACAGATAAGAAAGGAACTGTCCTAAAGTCATGGACCATGGCAGCAGAGGAGGGAGAACAACATTAACATTTTGTGGAACAAACAGTTTTGAGAACTATTTTGCCATAAGGCAGCTTAGCCCATTTGTGAGATAAGGACAGCCTCTTACCTTTGAAAAACCTCCTGCTGATAAACCCAAGAGTAGAAATCAAAGGGCTTAAAAGCACAATAAAGTGCTTTACTGAGTAGGGACAGGCTTGTGCGTTTGCCTAAATGCTTCACAAAACACTTGTTACCACTGACAGGTACTGAAGGGTGCCTAAGTCCTTCAAATACCCACTTAACAAATTTCCAAGAAGCATACAGTGAATATATTCCAGACTGGTTCTACAGACACAGTTCCTCATGTTTCAAGAACCAACCCAATGCCCAGAACTGGAAGAAGCTGCAATAATCCTTAGGTCATACCCTGCATTTTTCAAGAAGCCTGCTCAATATTTTCCCCCAGCCCTCTGCTACCACTGATTAGAACCAAGGGGTGAAAGGAAGCAGAGGTTAGGTCATTTGGGACCTCAGCAGGAAATCCACCATTATCCAAGCACATGGCTTCTTAAACATCTTAACAAGACTTTTATAGCTAAACACAATGGCAGGGGCCGAGACCTAATGTGGTTCAGTGTTTCTGAACTTGAGGCTTCAGTGTTCTCCCTCCTGCCACCTGTTTTGGCAACACAGAATGGTTTGGGCTGGAAGGGACCCTGAAGATCACGTAGACAAACATTCTGGGCACTGGCATTGTTAATGGTGCTTCACAATTATATTTTTTGTGCTTTAAGATTTTCATAATGTTAAGTGCTACTATGATTTCTTCAAAGAAAACAGAGCTCTGTATGAACAGCAGCTTCATTTAGACAGAGATTACCCACTCTGAATTTGTAAGTAGATTATAAAATAAATATTAATAAGACTAGTCTATATGGGGAAATTAAAAGGACCTATGAATAACGTTGCTCTGTATAATTGAACACACAGATCTATCAAGCTATTAAGGAAACCTGATTATGTCTGATTTGCAAAACTGGAGAAAGTGAAATAAACTGATTAACAAATGAAGCTGGGCAAAATGATCTGTTCTTAGCTCCTTGCTCTGTTCCACCAAAGCCTGCCATCCCCAGCACTGAAGTGCACAGCCGTCTCCTCCTCTGGCTACAAACATTTCAACCACGTTTACCCACATCAAATAAAGATGAACAGAATGTAACACTATGTAACAGACCAGGTTGAAATACAGCTTGAATACTGCATTCAATTCAGTGGAGTTATGTCACAGGCTTTTTTCAATGTGCTTGAGAAGAGTTCTGTGTGACTCTTCGGGGTAGCCACTATGGGACAGTGCACAGCCAATGGCACCTGGAAGTGCAGACATTCCCTGAAACCCACAAGCTCAGGCATTGACTGGATCCAGGCTAGCAGTAAAACAGACCACCACCTATCCCTAGAAAACTGAGGAGTATCTTAAGAGAAGAGGATGTTTATTTTCTTTACAAGGTGTTGACTCTTTCAGGCAACAATTAAAGTGTGCATGACTACAGCAGCAAGGAAAATCAGAATTTCCCATTATCATTATAATGAATTTAATTTCCTGAACTTGTTTTTTTTTTTTTTTTTAATTTAATTTACTTACAGGCACGGTCTTCAGTGACGCAACCTTCATGCTTCTCAGACAGAAAGAGTTATGCCAGTTATGCCATACTCTTTACTACAGGCTAGTTATTAAGAGTTTCCTTTCCATGGAATTTATTTTCTGCATGAAAGCAAGTGAAAATGTAAACCTCGAGGGAAGGAAACAAAATGGGTGAGAAAAATGTTACAGTTTCAGCTGCCATCAGCAATATCTTAGAATCCCTCACACACTCTGAGCAGGTCCATTTATTAAGACCCATAGAAATGGGAGATCTTTAAGCTACTTTTTTTTTTTTTTGGCTTTCTAAGACCCTGTCTAAAAAGGTACAAAAGGGATCCTGCTTTGAGAGAAGTCTACTTCAAATGACACTGTTGTTTGCCTGTAGAAAACCTGTCTGGCTTGTTCCAGGTGGGTACTGAAAGAGTGAGATGAGGCCAAGAAGGAAATGGTGTCTTGCTGTGAAGGCAGTTGTCAAATGATGAAAACAGCAGGGGGAAGAATGATTCCAAGATCCTTTTAGAAATGAAACTTTTCACTTGAGGGCCACAGAGCCCTCAGTGATATGGCTCCTGGCATGGTAATCAGGCTGCTGCACAGGCCAGTCTGCTCTTGCAGAGCTTACTCAAAATATTTAACCGTAACTTTTTCATGCAAAATTATCCTGGAGACTCTTCTGTATTAATACTAGTACTTTTCCCTTGTGCTTTGAACATCAGAAAATTAAATTCATGAAACGCTTCCATTTCATAATTGCTTAGTATCCTATCTCAGCAATCTGCAAACATCTATGAAGAGTACTATATACTCAGCATACAGCAAATGGTGCTTGAATGTTTTAGTAAGAGCCCATCTTGAGGTAATAACAGGCAGTTTAGAGCAATGCTTGTCACTTCTTCTGTGCTATGCACTCAACAAGATGCTAGAGCTACTAAAGAAAGAAAAAAATAGCAGTGACAAACATCTGTGGCATGTGTTACTGGGGAGTCCTGCAGTGCACTGATCCTCCGAATTAGATGCAGGAGTTGCCTCTACTCTTAGTGTCCAGGTTTATAGGTTTATAGGTTGCAGGAAACTTTCTTATTATTTGCTCAAAAATACTGAAGCTGAATGGGAGAGGAGGAGTGAGGCAGGAGGCTGCTCATGCTAGTCATGACCTAAATTCCTATCAGGGAACTTGTCTTTTTTTCCGTCCTTTCAGTCAAACTAGACAACTTCCCACATTCTGACAGCCCTATATAAAGTTCTTAAAAAAAGTCTAATCATCACATAGGAAGTAAAGGTCTCTGGGATACATACCATGTTTTCTCATTGACTTGGGCTTTGTAAATTGCTGGCTCAACCTGGCTTTGATCTTCACTGGCGTCTTCGAATGTCACAGCACTGTAAACAGAAAATGCAAAGAGTCACTGCAGAAACATTAAACATACAAGTAGAAGAATGGCAAAGTGAAGCCCTGTTAGCTATCAGCACAGATGGGGAAAGCCTACAACTCAAATTGAAAGGGTTCAATGGTTTTGAGTATCCCAGCAGTTGCCTGATTCACATAACAAGATGAAAAACTCTAAGCAGAATGGGGCAGGAAACAGACGCAGCGAGGCATTGAAATGGATTCTCCAGAAACAGGAGAAAAAGGATTACACCGCTAATCTGGGGTAATGCCAGCAGTGAAACTGAGGGAAGGTGGATGTCCCTTATTAAAAACATTGTTTTACAGGCTCTATAAGCTTTGCTTATGAGGCAAGATGCTCTTCTGTTCTTAACGTTTCTGGGAGAAGGTAAAACACAGATTTCTGGGGATATGACTGCGAAGACTGAGGATAACTCAAAATCTGTTCAAATTTCAAAGTTCAAATTTCAAAGTTCAAATTTCATTCAGTGACATAAGAATTCTCACTGATCCCTGATTAGTAATGCCCTAAATGTCATAGAAAGCCCCATATCCTTCTTGAAACAGGAGATCTAGTTATAGATGGGACTGCTCTGAGCCAGTTTGCCATGGTATGGACAACATACACTCAAGGAAAAAAAGCATGCAGGAGCTGGCTGCTGCTGCAGTCATACTCAGCCTAGAGAAAGAGGATATGACCATGGGGTTTTGCCACTCTGCCCATGGTCTTACACAGATCTGATGTAGATTGCTCAGGATTCGACATCTGACATCATCTATGCTTCTCTTTCCCTCCTCATTATACCAAAGTTTTGTTTATTTAAATACATTTATATACTGTGTTCACAAGCCTAGTGCATAAGGCAAAATCCAGTCAGCATCTTTCAACTTGAAAGTTTGGGAGGACAGGAAAGCCAAGAAATAGAGGAGCACTCTGCTAGAATCTAGTGAAAAGGAGGAGTGATAAACAGAAAGGAGAAACTGGCAGAGACTAACACACTCCTTTTCAGGAGTTTACTAAGCTAGATGTATTTTTTTACAGACAGTATCACAATTGTATTATATAGTATAAGTGAACTATCATTGGCGATAAGGTTTGAACTTACAACAAATCACCCACACATGCCTGGGTGAAGGCTCTACCTAATCATAGCCAAGACTTGCCAGCACCAGGATACAAAAGGCAAGAACCCAGAAAACTGAGAAAGGAGCTTTATGTAATGCCTGCTCCAAGGTGTGAGCTGGGAGAAGCTGTTCCAGGGTCCCTGATCAGCTAGAAGACAGTGTTAGCTCTCAGTGCCCTCTTTGGAGAAGCCACAAGAAGAGCTGTTAGCAAGGCCAGTATAGACAGAGAGAACAGTGGGTGGCAGAGAGCAACAAGGTAGCATGAAAAAAGCAGGTCAACACACAAAAACTGACAACTTAAATCAGGCCACGCTTCCCATCAAGCTTGAACAATGCCAGGCTGGAGTCAGGGAAGAAACCAGCTGGTCTGACCGTGGGTTCAACAGATGAAGGCACTCTGAAAGTGCTACGTGTACCCGAGGCATGGCAGTGTCTGCTACTCTACCCCCACGTTACAATCTACTGCTGCCCTCCAGGGTAAGTCTTGTTTGCCAAGCTAATTTAAGCATGCAAGCATGGAAGATTAACTCAGTGCCATCAGACAGTGTGGTTAATTTTCCCCAGGTTTCTCAACAACAGCTGAGCCAATGCGGTCACAATGGTGACCCCCCCAGCCTGAGGTAGGCTCTGGTCACTGCAGAACGAGTGACAACAGAAACCCCACCTGTGCAAGTGCTTCCAGAACACCCACCAGCACTGGGATTTTGCTGGTTTCCAGCTGAAGAGCTGAACCGAGTACTTTTATAGGGATCCCCACATACCAAATGGGATTCTGTTGCTAATGGCCAATGCCAAGCAGCAGAATACAGAAGACAAGAATGAGAAGTGGGCAGAAGTGATGCAATTTGTTTTTTCTTGAGCCTTAAGCCTAACATTAGAAATCCTGAATTTTCTCAGAAGATGGTGACTGTGTCACAAACCTCACGTCACATTTTTAAAAGAGCCTTAGTGCCTACCCACAGAAGGATGCCACAGCTTTCATCACTGTTATCACTTCACATCCTTTCCACTCCTTTCTGCTTCACCGCCGAGGGAGCGAGTGAATAAATTAGCTTCATTTTCAAAACCAGGCTCTGTCATTTTTCTTGACTGTTAGTTCCTAGTAGTATTTTCCTTTTTGTGATACCAGTATCAATTTCAGGCCCAATTCTGAAATCATAGAAAGAGAGAGAAGCACTCTTTCTTTACTGAAGCCAGTGAAGCAACAGATGTACAGTCAGAATCAAGCCCATTAAATAGAGAAGACCAAACTTTATCTTTTCTCTGTCTCTCCCGAATACAAGGTACCAGATGGAGGATGTGAAGTGTCTAAAGAAAAGCTTTGGTTCAAACGCAGTCCTGAGAGAAGCAAAAATCCAATAAGTTTATGGCATACAAGTCACTTTTGCTCTGACACCCACAGATGTGGATTCCAACCTTCTGTTTGCAAATCCCTGAGGTCCACCTGACTGTTTTCAAGGGATTCATAATACCTGCAAGAAATAGCTTAGGAGAGCAAGCTGTGTTTGGGGACAAGGTATGGAAGGGTATGTAGAAATCAAACCAGGTCAACAATTACTCATTGATTCCATTACCTCATTTTTTCACACTTTCTGTAAAGGTAGAAGCTATAAGCAACACCTATATGAATAAAAGTATTATATTTATACATATTTAAATTTTTTATATCTATTTATTCTGCTATTGCTTTTTGCTTTCAGAAGCAGGTGTACTCCTCAGCCACAGGGATGCAGTGTGGCAGTCATTCAGAGTGAGATCCACTCAGGATTATTACAGTACATAGCCACAAGCACTGCAGTGGTTGGATATTATAAAGCCATGTAGAGTTAAATTAATCCCTAGCCTGGAAAAAATGTTCAGTGCAGTCAGGAGCTGTACCTTGGAGTCACTGCCAAATCCTATTCCCCAAAATGCTATTCCCTACAACTTCAGTGATTGCACATGACTTTCCTCCACATTCACTCTGCCATATCAGGGATCACTGCTGAGTTTTCAGGCCTGATCCAGTTCATACGTTAGGCATAACATGGTCAACAAATTAACTGCCAGAGGCCAACACAGAAGTACAGATCTCCTTCCTCACTTCTGTTCTGTCAAAAAAATACACTTGTGAGGATATTTCCTGCTGCAGTGTTGTCAGATCAGAGGTCATCAGGGGCAGCTTTTGTGTGACTGTGGCATGTGCTGGAAGCTGTGTGTAAAGAAATAACCATAAAGTAAGACATAATTTCAACACTTAAAATAAAGTATAAAGCCGGTCCCTAAAACGGTGTTGCTTTGGTTTGGCTCTGTGTGTGTTGTTGGGGTGTTTTTTAAACAAATATTTCTCAAGAGTTACGTGTAAACTTTCCACCACAAATGGAAATTAGCTTTTTCTAAAATGAAATCTACTACTTCACTCTCTGTAATAAAGCTGGTACCAAATAAGTCTGACTGGACTAAAGCCTGTCCTTTGAAGAAAAGTTGCAATATAAGGACATTCACCAACAGCATTAGTTTTTCTCCGAAGCTACATCGGCCACAAAACTAAAACTAGTTTTAGCTCAAATCTCCATCATACATTTATGTTACACATAAAAAATTATGTTTTCCACACAATTTCATTTGTATTTCTTTGCAGATATGCAAGTCCACTATAAAGTAGATGCAGTCTAACTGCTTTCCAGAGTATTTTATGCCAATGTTAGTCTAGATCAAAATCCAAAAAAATCTCTAACCCCTTCAAATACTTATCATGTCTCCTCTGTCACTGACTCTGAGGATGTTTCAAATCATTTTTCACACAATCAATGCTTTTTATGCTGTCAAATGTAATGACAGCATAGCTCCAGCGATGTTACTTGCTGATGGGTGATGCAAGATTTGATTTACCAAGGCAGACACATTCCTACCACACACTCGTCTGCAATCAGAGCAGGCAACAGAAGAAAATTCCAGTTACCTCCCCGAACCACATACACATGGGAAGCAGCAGGCAGAGGACAAACTTTTAGGGAAACGGTGAACAAACCCACTCAGTCAAAGCTGCACTACACAGTGCAACTGAAGCCTACCTGAGCAGTTTGGCATCTAATCCTGAGACCAACCTCGAGGCAAAAACCTTCTCACTGATAACATCAACTCAGGAAGCACAGAAATGAATCCCCAGCTCAGGCATTGCTTGTGCTCACTCGATCTGTGCAGGGCAGCCAAGGTTCACCTCTGTTCACTTTACATACTTGTTTCCAAAAGGTAATGTGGAAATCTGACAGGTTCACAAGTGAAAACTATCTGAAATGCACATTTTCCTCTGGCATAGCTGTGACTCAAGCTCGAAAACTTGAGTTTTCGAGCAACATAAGCAATGACAGCTACAACTGCAAAGGTGTTAGCAAGGCCACAGACAGCTTCTGATGGGTACAAAGACTGTGATATCAGCAAAAAGGGTTATGTTTGTCAGTTACATTTAGACTTTGCATCTTGTATAATCCTGCATATATTTAGCCAACCGCATGCAAAATGGCATGTGACAACCTGTAAGGGAGCATGTGATTGATTGCTGTGCCATGCCGGGGAAAGGCTGGGAAAATGAGCCATTTTTGGAAGTGTTACCTATGTCTTAAGTCTGAACTGTCAAACTTCTTAGTTCTTGGCAACTTTATTTTCTTTTGGACCTCACAGATGGGGGTTTTACGGGTTCCCTTCTCAAATGTATCATGCAGCAACTTGCATAGTCACTCATGTTGTGGTTCACCTAACAATGCACCTGGTTATCACTCAACAGCATCTTTAACCAATATAAAGAAAAAGGCTTTCCTTGAACTATTACTAAATGCTTGTCTAATTGCCAGTACAGTGTTAAATGCCTTGAGAGAAATCCTATTTAATGGCTTGTCTGTAGGTACACTGTATAAATAGGGGCTCATATGTGTTTTCATTCTGTCTATAAAACACTGACCTTTAATTATCAAGCAAGTGTTTGATACTTATAACAGTATTGGAAACAAATGTAAAGAATAAACTATTGGAGAATTCCAGCCAAACAGTATCGAGTTCTAATTAAGGCAAACTAATCAAAATGACTGTGTTTGCCTTATTACAACTCGTGTCTGCCTATTTAAAAAAGCAGCCTCGTGGGAGAGGGTAGAGGAGGCAGAGTCAGAGCCATCTCACAGGTGTGCAGCTGAAGGACAGGGATCAACAGGCACAAGGTAGAAAGAGGGAATGACTTTTTTTCACCTGAGAGTGGTCAGACACAGGAGCAGCAGTTCAGAGCAGCTGGGGAATCTCCATCCTTGGAGATATTCAAAGCTCATCTGGACATGGTCTTGAGCAACCTGATTTATCTGGGCTGCTTTGAGCAAGGTGTCTCTTCCAAACCCAATTATTCTTCAGTTCTAGAATTCTAAATAGGCTTGGGCACAAAAATGCAGAGAAGGAACATGTTGATTTCTTCATTCCCTCTTCCCAGTAGTTACCTGAAACTAGTCCATGGAAATGGACTGCTTCCTTCAAGAGTACGTTTGAGTCAAGTTGAAAAACCATTTTCCACTCCAAATACTTTTGTAAAATGAACATATGTGAGGCCGGGAGAAGAAAGGGGACAGAACAAAGTCTGTACATTGATAGCATCAAAGTAAGACTGCCTAAACTCAGAGGACAGAAAAGGAAAGAAAATGTCTTTGGGGAAAAAAGTCTGGTAGAAATCTGATGAGACCAGATTGATATTATCAAGAAAACAGTTACATGACAGCTGTTAATAAAATAAAAAGCCTTTCTGGATTAGTTTTTGCACAAGAAAAAAATGTTTCCTTCTCTTCCTTTACTACAGACAGGGATGAGAGATGGACAAATTCATCCGGGAAATGCCAACATTTTAAACTGGATTCTCAGTGTGAATGGGAACACTGCTGTCCTAGTTGAGCCTGCCCTGCCTGAGGACCAGACTAGAAATATCATCAGTTCCTGTGAGAAGAGAGAAGGGTTTCTTGAGATTTTAAAAGCCCCGTTCTTTGAAAATAGGCTCCAAAATAATGTAGATATTTAGAAGTATTTCAAGTGCTTTTTGCTTGTTAGTCTCACCCACGACAAATTAAAATCCACTCAAAAATCTGCTCCTATAGACACAAGCTGAAATACATGATGTAAAGAACAACAATATAAAGGAAAAACGCTAAAACACATCTCTTTGATAAACATATTCCTTGAGGATAATGATGTCTTTCCAAAGATTAGGGAATAAGTACAATGACTACTGACATGGGGAATGACTGGGAAAAAGGTAAATGAAAAGAGCAGGTAATTTTAGCTTCATTTAAAAATTTCATTTAAAAATCAGTGTTCTACCTTTGCTGTTTCTGGCATGGAGGAATGAGGACGTACTACTCCTCAGAGCAACAGAATGGAGATTTCAGTTCAAGTCATCAGCACATCAGAGATCCTTCTAAAATAAAGTACGGGGGATTTTTAGCTTAGTTTTCCTGGGTTCTTCCTTCATTTTCTTTTCCAGCAATTTATTCTTTTTCCTCTCCTCCCATCATTTAACAGCATACTAGTGTGAATATGAGCATGACATATCACTTGTAGGTATAATGAAAGGATAGCTCTGAATAGTACAGTTGCTTTCTGCAAATACAATTCCTTTGCTATGCTTTCAGTAAAAAAAAAATAATAAAAATTATCACCACCCGACAGCAAATGAATGAGTTGACAGAACATAGGGCCTGGTCTCAAACCAGAGAAGGTGGCAGAATGAGACAAACACCTTCCTCTTTGAAGTAACTCTTGCACCATGATTGGATTACTCCTTTTGTAAAGGTGATGTGTACGTGCTGTGCAAGGAACAACTGTTCACACACTCCAAGTAAAGAAGGAGCCTGACAAGCCACATCTACCCAGCAAGAGACTTCAGCTCACACGTTTTTCAGGCACATCAAATACCTCTCAATATAAAAAGAAAGCAACTTTCAGCCCAGTTGAAATAACACAGCTCAATCCATCTACTCTCCCCTGTATAATCTAGCTGAGAACAAACAAACAAAAAATAGTCACGGAATTGATTTTCTCCTGCTGTTGCTTCTTCAGTGCTATTGTCCTTTTAGTAACACCTCTGGAGACCAGAGCAGCACATTCCTTTTCCAGCAAG